AAATTATATCGCCTTTTAATATAACAATAATTATTAAAAACTAATAAAATTATCATTTAAATAAAATTAAAATAAAAGCATTTTTATTAAAAAAAAATAAGAAAATTTTATTCAGTCACACGAAAAATTTTTTTGATTTCTTTTTAAAAGCAGACACAACACTCGAATAAATTGCTTTAAAACTAACTCTAAAATACTTACAGAAATTATACTTAGTTTATAATTTTAAACTGATGTATAAATTTGACTTCAAGTGTCCATCTTAGACTTTTCTAAATCAGAACATCTAGATATCTTTATAGGTTCTTAAATGTAAGTTTTTAATTGTTTGGATAATTTTCAACTTGGGCGATTTTGATCAGCATATGCTTAGCATTATTATGTAATGAGCATTACAAAGAGGAATTGGCAATACGATTCAAATAGAAATTATATTATTGGCATAAGAAAATTAAAAACGACTTGAAAGCAAGTAAAATAAATGAAAATTTGTTAATCACATTTTTAAAATTAAATATCGCAATTACCTTAGTATCGAAATTTTACGTCATAATAACATAAGTAACATGTACGTATTTTTTGATTTACTTTCTCTTTCCTATTTCACATAAAATTATTAACTTTATTTATGAAACATTAATTAATCTCATTGAAAATTATTAAGAATAATTTGAATTATAAATGATCAAATAAACACTGTAATTGAAAACGAAAATTACTGATTCTATTACAAAACAAGACATCTTTGGAAATTAGAAAAATTACTGTTATGACAGCTGTAAAGCGTAGTATAATCGAGTTTAGTCACTTTAATTTAAGTTCCAACCACCAACTATAAGGTCCGCCAATAAGATCTTTTGCGATTCTCATTCCCTTCTAGGACATCAGCCCTATGTACCTTGGCTTTTGAATATTTGCAACACTGCAACCAAGGATCCTCCCGAAATATCTTTCTCGCAATACTCCTCACCGTACGCTATGCATATCCCCTTCAGGTGTACCAATAGTCTCAAATGTGGAAGACCAAACATGGCCAGTTTCCAACCCTCATAGTCCTGAGAATGGCATATATTTTTTGAAGTTCAGAAGCCTGGACGGCCTTTCTAGCAATCGACCCTGGCTCCCTGTGCCTTCCAGTAATTCAGGTCGTGCAATATTTGTGCCAACATACGGACTCGGGGCTCACTTCAGTACAATGTCATCTATTTTCTTGTTGCCGTTAGGTGATAATAAATGAACTATAAATATTTAATGATTTGATAAAAACTCAAGAATTTACTTCCGAATCGCTGCGTTATCTTTTCCTAATACAGTAATACCTACTTTAATAAGTAAGATTTCCATAATAGATTTACAAAAAATAATTAAAACGAAAAGCTAATTAAAGTTAAATTTTTAAATTTTATAACCTACTAAATAGCAAAGTTAAAGCAGAAGAAATCTAAATTTGCAAGCTAAAGTGTCATAAAAATTTACTCATAATTAAATTCAACAAATTGCTGATTGTTAATCGGAAAACTTGCTTTGTATATAAAAAATTTTTAAGAAATTATTATTTTCATTTCATTGAAGCTCAGTTCAACTCGTGTAATCGCGCACCCATCTAAAATAATTTTATTACTTTAAACTTTAATTTTTATTATAACTATGTTTTTGTTATGAATTATTTGATGTTTACAACTTTCTATAAAATATCCGATCCATTTTAGATTAATTTTTACGAACAAAGAAGATGACATGAGATAGAAGGAATTGCATCGTATTAGGAATTTGTAAACACACTATTTGAGATTGAGTTTGTAAAAATAGTTAGGTCGGCTAAATTGTAATTTAAATATTCTGTAAAGTTCTTGAAAAAGGCACTGGTTATGATCATTTTGGTTCAAATGGGCCAAAATATTTCATTTTTTTTTTTGTTTCAAAATTGGATGCAATTTCAATTTACTTGTTTTTGCTCTTGCACAAGAGCCTTATTAACGTTATAAAATTTTATTTTATCAATTCTATTTAGGTAAAATGATTTAAGCTTTTGCATACAATACAATAATGTTCACATTCACACTAAATTTATGTACAATTTTTTAGGAAATTATGTACAATTTTTTTTCGCAATGCTAAAATATTAAAAAATTTCAGGATTTTTAATGCATAAATCATAGATACATTTTCAGTAAGCTAATAGAAAAGCAGTTTTCTATAAATTATTAAATGAACTAATTATCAATAAGTTTAATTAACTAAACGTTTATAAAAATAATTCATTTAATTGAAAAAATATTATGGATCAAAAAAATCATGCACTAAAAGTTGTCTTCCTTGTAGAGTACAAAACCCCGTAAACTTAGGATTACCCCTAATAAATTATATAATATTTCTATATCAGTTCCACAAGTTTTTAGCTGCTAGATTGTGCTATTAAAATTTTTTTTTCTACTCAACATAATATACATTTTAAGTAAAATGTATAAAATTATACTATGAAAATAATTTTGAAGTATCATAACATAAGAACTCCAACTGTGTACCAGTAGTAGCATTAAATCGTGAGTGCATTTTGAAATTAATCATTTTTTTTTTTTTTTTGATTTCAATAATATTATTTTTAACATTTTTCCAAAATCTTAATTTAAATACATTTCACTATTTCTAAATTGCGCCTATATGTACATGCTATACAGCATCCAGTAATGCTTCAATATAATATTATTGTAGCTTCTGCTATTTCTTTACTTTTTATGTGCGATATTTGTACAAAATATTATAGAAAACCTGATCCCAATTTAATAAAATATGAGGTTAATATTTATATATTATGTATTTGCATTATACGAGTGTATTGCACTTATATTATATTCTACTATATATATAGGTACATATATTATAACGTCGAATCATAATAATACCATTATTATTATTAATATATGAATGATGATAATAAGAGTATATTTTAAATTAAGCATCCTGAATCTAGTAAAAAATTTATTGTTTTTTTTTTTGTTTTATATTACTTCTTCAGATAATATCGATATACTTAATAACAATTTTTGTTTTGTTAGATGAAAATCCAAATTAATATTTCTCTCCTTTCTATTATACTTACATAGTATCTTTTCTTTCAACAAAGAAAACAAAAAGAAAAAAATTATTAAGTTCATCATCATTGTCAGCAGCTTCATAATCATCATCATCATCACCATCATTAATAAAATGAAATTAGTGATGATCACGCTCAATATTGGTATGAATAACAAGAATATTAACTGATTTATCAATATCAATATAATTATTATTATTAATCCAAATCATTTTATATATGTATTATGAAAGTTAGTTGGGATGCATATGATATTAAATATATGTATATGTGATAAAGAGGATGCCTTTAAAATAAAGAATTTTGTTTTTTTTTTTACAGTTTTAATATTTATACGTGCAATATTATATTATGATGCAGATGAATGCAATTCAATTATTAGTTCATATATGGGTGAATATTACACATACTATGCAGTATTGCATAAATATTAATTGAGTAAATGTTTTCAACTTACAAATATAAAATATTATAGGCTTTACTTTCATCTTATAAATTAAAGCAAAATTGTTAAAGGAGTTAATTGCAATAAAAAATAAACAACAATTATTGGTAAATATTTCTTGAACTTGTGTGAATTTTACAATGAGAACGATTTAAAAGTTTAACGCAATATTTTGAAAAAAAAAAATTCATAATTAGCAATCTAAAATTATATTGGAGCTAGGCATAACATTTCACTAGAATCTTATATGTAATATTATACTAGACTTTAATACTATTTTATTGCTCTGATATTCTTGAGGGCTAAAATCGATTACAAAATATTCGATAGTTATAATTCACTACCATTTAACTGAAGTAAATATATGTACTCAATTTTAATTGAAAACGAAAAAAAAATAGACTTGACCTTGTCAACTCTGTGATACCAGTACGAATTTGTTATCCTATGTGCGAATAAAGATGCCGCAACTGACTATGAGTTTAAGTTGCCGTATTACCATATTAATTTATGCAAAATTTCAGTACAGTATTTTTCAAAATAGTGTGTGTGCCAAATAACGTTTGAAGTTGTATGGCAGCTACCCAAACCGATGCACCGATCATATCCAATTTAAATAGGGTTCTGGCACTTACTACAATAAATCGTTTGTGAAAATTTGGTGAACTTAGCTCAATTAGTTTTTGAATTATCGCTGGGACGGATGGACGGACATACAAAGCTAAATCAACTCAGAATTTGACGCTGATCAAAAACATACACTTGAGTCTATATCTAAGACCGTTATTTCTTAGCTTTACAACGATGAAATACCGATCGGGAATTGTATTCGAAATAAAGTTATTATATTTTTGCTATATTTTAAAAGGAAAATATTGGAAACCTTTCCCAAATCATATTATAAATAAATATACAGTTAGTTTATTTTACTGAACTGATAACCAATATTATTTATATAATTATGTATGTATATATATAAAAAAGAATTGCATTCTTTAATGGGCTCATCATAAAAAGAAAACACTATAATTTCTTTTTTCTAAATTTAAGATTTTTAATATTAGAAAAATTTTCAATAAAAATTATATTGCTTCCTTTGTATATAGTAAGTAATATGTTCAATAATTTTATATAAAATTTAACGATGGAAAGTTTATGATGGAAAACTAAATTTTAATATTATATAATGATAATATTTTATATCATTAAATTATATATATATGAAGACGTAGATCAATAAATAATATTTGACTGCAATTTGTATAACATTGTATGAAGAAGTTATTTGAAAAATAACAAAGTGCATATATGTTTTAAAATGTGGTAGTAAAATTTATATCTGATAAAATTTTAATATTTATAGCAAATTCATTTTTATTACATTTTTATAATAGTATAATTATTGTACAATTTGTAACATTAATGTACTTGTAAATTAAATTTCATTTCATTTTTTTACAGATGGACAATGGAAGAGGAAACTCTTGTCACCTAATTAAAGATTTTAAGTTAATTTGGAGTCCAAAACAGAAAGTAAGTTATTATAATAGTATTATTGTTCATAAGAGTACCTTCATAAACTAAAACACTACCCAAGTCCACTCTACGGCAATACAATTTTCAGCAATGAGTATTAATGCTGAATTGTATGCTATAGAGTTTAATTTTAAAATGTATGGAATAATAAACGAGTATTTATTTGTAAACTTTATGCTTATATCACAAAATATATTTGAAGTGAACACATGAATGAAGAAGGGTTCAAGTCATGTTTACAGCTTCTAAAACAACTTTGCGATAAAACAAATTCGTACTTGCTAGACATAACTGTGCTTTTAGACTTTCGTTAGAAATGTGGTAAATTTAAGCTATACAAATAGCGTACAAAGAAATTTATAGCGTTTTTAGTTCAGATACCAGAACCGTTTCAAAAATGTCGCCTTCAAAAATTTTTCGTCCTTTTTTTACAAATAAGAGTTTTTTTTTCAGGTTGTACAACATTGTAGCTTCACAAGTTTTTTCTAAAATTAATCCTCCAAAGTATAAACTTATAATGCCGTATTGTAATTCGCAATCGTAACGAGTCTTATTGCAGAAAAACTACATTTTCTAGCATCTTGAAGAAAAAACTAAACTGCAACAAAACATAATAGTAGGCAAACTCAAAAACCCCAAAAATGCAATACCTAATATCAGCTAATAACCACTACCTTAAAACTTCTAATAAAAAGCTTTCTAATTCTCTCCGTCGGTAACCTGTTGAAGTCTACAATTTTAAGAAATAATATTCATTTCGTTAAAATAAAATTTTTTTCCCACCTTCTCCCTGTCGAGTTTTCTTGTAGAGTAAATAACAAAATTTCATTAATTTTCTCTATAAAACAAATATCTTCTTGTCAGAAAATATAATTAAATATTTTCGCAATAACCGAATTAACCCTAAAAGTCCATAAATTTATTAAGACTTTTAAATTTATTCTAATTTTAAATGAATGCGATAACTGTACAACATTCTAATATTGTTTTACATTGCGAAAAATCTTTACTACATTCTCGCTACTTTGATTAATCATTTCAGTTTAATCAAAGCAATCTATTAAAATTTTTAGATCAGCACTTAATTTTGCAGGTTATTATAAATTTTGTTTTAATACAACATCAATAATAAGGTATAAGTACAACAAAAGAATAGAATTTCAAAACTTCCTTTACTTATAGAACAAAAGACTTTAACTTTTAACCACTTATTAACTGAAAACAGAATAATGTCAATTAATTTAATGTTGAACAACATTAGTTTATTTAATTTTAAAGAGTTTTTGCAATAATGTTCAAATAATTGTTTTTTTTTTTTAAGATGACGTTCATGCATATGTCCAATGTCTTTTTACTAAAAATTTAATAAAAAAATAAACGATAAACGAAAAAAAAAACGCAACGGATGTACGTAAAAAAAATTGCATACTTTTGTTCTTCAAACTTAACTTATTTCATGCTTCTTTTGTTCTTCTTCATTATAAACTACTTATTTGCATGTAACATTTAAATGATAGTTAAAATTCATTTTTAAAAATCTTTTGTCTATTCAAACTTCTTTAAAAATTAACAAACACAAAAAAAAAATGAATAAACAAACCTTTGTTTCATTCATTTTACTCTAATTCTCATGACAATTTATCTCATTGAAGATTATACCAAAATAAACCCATATATGAACCCATATTTTTGTCTCCCTTCATCAAATTTATTAATGGCGAAAAATAAATTTCGGATACCTTTTGAAAATGATTAGTACAACAGAAACCGTGATGAATAAAGATGAATCACTTTAAAAAAAAATTTAAAAAAAAAAAACAAAAAATTTGTTACTTCTTTCCAATTGAAGATGCTTGTCTAAAACTTGATCTTAATGTTAAATTGAGTTCGTTTAGACAATTGGAAGACACACTTGAAATTTTTTATAGTGAAAAAAACAAAAAATAGAAAAATAGATGAAAATTCATAGAACAACAATAGAGAACCCATCCATTCCATATAATAAAAATGTAAACTAATGTAAAAAATATTTAACAAAATATGAGAAAAATTCCCGCGAATAATTAATTTTATAAAAATGAAAATAATACAAAAACACAAATTCCAAAAATTATGTAATCTCATGTTGTTGAGATTTCTGAAACGTTTTAATGTGTTGACGATTAAGTAATTTAGCATTGTTGGCAATGATTTCTTTATAAATGATGTTTGCTCTAGAAAATAACATTTTAGAAAAAACAAAAACAAATTATGTTTTTTTTTGCTTTTAAATATTTTTAAAAGTTGTGCTATACAACAATAAGATAAATTACGTACACCGTTGCAAAATTTATAAATAATATTTACTAATTCAGTAATTTACTTTTGAGAAAAATTTTAGATTTTAGTACCGTGTTACACCAATATGAATATCAAGAAGAGAGTCGTCAAGTTTCTTCTCTACCTTTTATTCTATACAAATTATACTATAAAAATATATTCTTCACAAAATCTATAGAGTTGAATTTATTTAAGCTTCACTTTGATATTTTGGCAAATATTACTAAAATCAATTCTATCTTTTGCACAATATACCAAAATTTAGAAAAATCTAACTCACGTCCTGTCTCTAATTTAACAGAGCTAATGTAGAAACAGAACATCTATAACAGAAGCAAATGTTCACTGAACGTCTACCTTAAGTTATTCAGGGCTCAACCTTAAACAAAGTAATTGAATTTCATAAATAAAATTCTGGCTCATTGTGGATTGGAAAAAACATTCATTAGATTGTAAGAAATTTTTTTGTAGAGCATCCTCTTATAGGGTGATCTGAGTAAGAGAAAACATGGCAATTTGTACAGTGTCACAAAACTCTTCCCTTAATCATTATATTTGTAAAACTTTGGCAACAAACTTTTCGCTATTTCGTTGCTTGGTTCGGACAGTATCAACACCATGACCGAAAAGCAAAGCAACTATAAAACAAGTAAATTATAGAAAAATAACACATTTGTGAGAGTCTACCACCAAAAAGGGTTGTGCAACAAAAATTTTTAATACTCAAATTATTTTTAATTAATTCGCAATTTATTTTTTTTTTTTTAATTTCGTTTTAAATTTTTAAATGGAATTCAATGTTCTTCAGCATATGTTATCATATAAATTCTGTCATCACAGAAATGAATTATATTCATCTCCTAGAGCTCAAAATCCACATTATAAACGTAATAATAAAATTGTGTCATTAATTAACTCTTATATTAAATTTAATTATAAAGATCAAGTTACCTAAATTTTATGAAAATTAAAAATTTTAAAAATGAAAAAATTATGGCATAATATTCATTGTTTTTATATTGCACGCACATTTGAATTGAAAGTGAAACAATGAACTTGATGAGGATTATTGTTAGCGTATAGTTGGCAATGTACAACTTACATGTTAATTATGGTATAATTATTATAATATACAAAGTAAAAATTAGAATTTATTATAACAAGTTTAAAACATTAATTGTAGTACATAAAAAACATTTCGCAATCTTTCAACTCATAAAATATGGAGTGGCTCTTCACTAAAAAAAAAACTTTTTTCTTTAATACAATGTAATTTTTTTGTATAAAAAAAGCAATGTTTTATGGTATATAAAATGTCAAAGGCTACTTGCAAATAATTATGAATGGGTGTAACAAGAGTGCAACGTTGAAGTATTAAAAATCAATCAAAACATGAAATACAAAATGTTATGAAAAGGCAATTATGTTTGAAAAAAGAAAAATTTACTTACAAATTATTTTGTTCACACAATACAACTAAAAGGTATAGGAAACATTGAGAGATATTTTCTTAACATACTCGTATAAAAGAACTGACGATTGCATGTCAAATTTTTAAATTTTAAACAATTATACATTGATATTGCAAATGGCAGTTCTATTAGTTTAACTATGCCTATATGCCATATTTGTTCTTGATTGACATCTCAAAAACATAGCAGTCTATGTTTTTGATTACATTGTTATAAAAAGAATTTACAATATTAAAACATTGTTAACGCAAAATATAAGTACTTCAAAAGTTATTCGATGCTGCTTAATATTCATTTCGAGAAATATTTAAGTTTTCTTTTTTGAACGCTAATTTTTTTAACTAAAACAGCGATACAAAAGTACGCACTAAATGACGGTGATTAATCGAAATTCTTCTTCTATTAATTCAGAACGAAAATTTCATTAATAGTGTTAAGAATTACGAAATGCGGATGAAAAATTTTGAAAGAGCTAATGAAGCTTTTTTAAAATAAGATACTACATTATTTGGTTATTCGTGCCAAATTACTCTTCCGAGCCTTTTACTGCATATAAAGCCGTCAAGGGAATCTGTGAGCAATATAAGTGTGTTCCAAAATCGCTAGAATACTCAAATGACAAAACCATTGCATCATTGTACAAAATATATCCTTTTTGTACGCTAGTCTCTTGGTCAGCAAGATTTGCTTATTAAATCCGACCATGTAGCAAAATATTTAAAAATACTAAAAAATATATACTAGAAATTTTCTCTGAAATTTGTTGCAATACAATAAAAATTTTAAAATTTTGGTTTTTCTCTCAAAATGTCGGTTCTTTAAAATGTCAATTGCTTTTTATAATAATCATTTTGATGAAAAATTATTATAGTGATTTAGAAATAAAGAACCAAAAATAAATGAAAGCAACAATAGCCACATTTGTTCGAGTTTATACTTTATTAATGTTATTAGCAGGTATGTACATATGTAAATATATTAATGACATTCAATTGTTTTATATTAAATTTATTTTTAATTCAATTTTATATTGCTGACCTTACCTTTTTCAATTCGTACCTAAACCATATATGTACATACATAAATATGTGATAATTTTTAATAATTCATCAACTAAATAATAATATAGTTATATTTTATAATAAAAAAAAATCTACTTTATTTTTAGTATTTTTAATACTAAAGTAAGACCTAAAATATAGGTCA